CCAAAGTCCGCTCTTGTCTGCCTATCAGAATTACTAGAGATGTTTGAACCCTTAGCCAGAGCTAATCAAACAGAATCTCTGGATCTAGGACCTGCTCGAATGTATTTTTAAAGAACGCTTTGAAAATTATCTTCCCAAGAGATTTATTAACTACAAAGGAAGAAATAGTACCTTTCTTTAGAGTGGAGAAATCTAAGCATCTTAACTGTGTGATCAGTGGTGACATCACCAACAGGACACATCAACATTGTGTATCCTCTGGAATTATCTCTGAGGATATATTACTTCTGTAGTATTAATGCATAACCTTAATGTAGTCAGAGAAAATACTGAATCAAACCCAAATTGAGGAATATTCTACAAAATAACTGGCCAGTATTCTTTAAAAAAAAAAAAAAAACTAAGTCATGAAAGACAAGAAAAGACTGAGGAACTGTCACAAATTGGAGACTAAAGAGAAATAACAAGTAAATCTACCACAGGATCTGGAATCAGTGGCAAGGACTACAGTAATTACTAGTTTGTACTGATGTTAATTTCCTGGTTTTGATAATTATACAAAGGTTATATAAGACATTAACATTAGGAGAAACTGGATGAAGATTATATAAGAACTGTTTTTGCAACTTTTTAAATCAAGTATTTCAAAATAAAAACAAAAAACCTCTCTGTACTTGGGAGTTTCTCAAAGTATTTACTTTTGCTCTTCAGAAACACAGAGACATTTACTTTTACTTTGGTGACAGCCAAAGGACTGAGCTGGAGGAATGACAGTAGACCAGGTCATGGTGCCATGACCTTGTCGGAAAAACAGAAACACTTGCAATGCTTCCTGCATTTTGAAACATTTCCCCTCTTTATTTTGTTTTTCACTTACAAAAGTAATATACGTTTTAACAAGTAAAACAATACAAAGATAAACAACTGCTTATTTTTCCCTTCCCCCCACCAAGATAACCAATGTTAATTAAGACCTTGCTGTAAATCCATCTATGCTTTTCTTTGTTCATAGAAACATACATGCATATATATACACATACAGGAGTTTTACTTTTTTTTTTTTTAAAAATAGATTCATATACATTATTCTGCAATTTGCCCTTTTCACTTAAAAATATACCATGAACAAATTAGCAGAGTTCTAGTTCCCCACTCAAATAATTTTACTAATCACACATTTGAGATATCATACTTGGTATATATATATTTTTCTATTTGGCTTTCATTTTCCTTCTCTGACTCCCTCATTACCAACCTGCATCACCCTCCTCCCTCTAACCCAATGTATACTCTTATATACTTTTCATCATGCATAGAAAATCATAAACAAACGTATATGGATACATGTTTTTCACTCAAATAGCTAGAGGAGTTCTGTCACTGATTATAGGAACAGGCTATTTTACATACTTACTTGGCTTTTTTTTTTTTTTTTTTAAGGAAACACTGTGGAATTCTATTCAAGTCCACTAGCATGGTTTAATTTTTCCACCTTAATGGTTATATAAACAATCTATGGAATGGATATACTGTTTCTCCCCTCTTCCGGTTTCCCTACTGATGGGCATTTATTTTGATTCTAGTGTTTTGCCAGTAGGAACAATTTTATAATACACATATTCATCTGTCCTTTATGTATTGGGGTTTTACTTCTAAGAGAAGATTCCCCAAAGTGGCATAAGTATTTTAAGTTATAAAAGATGTTGCTGGATTGTTTTTCGAAAGAGCTGAATCTGTATGTCCACCAGCAGGGTATAAGAACAACCTTTGTTGGGGACAGCAAAAAGCATTCCTGCTATTTTCTGTCAGTTTGGTTGCATAGTTATCGCATTATGACTTTAATCTGTATTCCCCAACAACTACCAAGGCGACACATTTTTTGATAGTCCCACCAGCTACTTGGATTTGCTCTTTTTACAACTTTCTATTCATATTCTCTACCATGTTTTGCCATTGAGTTATCTCCTTCCTGTCAATCTGAAAAGCACTTCTCCATTGATTGGCTTTGCAAATATTTCACCCCAAATTATAATGTATTGACTTTTTTGATGGCATCTTTTGCCATACAAAAGATCATAGTTTTACATAGTCAAGTTTTTCCTATTTTTAAATTTTTATTTAAGTAGACTCTATGTCCGGCATGGAGCCCAATGTAGGGCTGGAACTCATGAGCTGAGATCAAGAGTCAGAGTCTTAATGGACTGAAGCACCCAGCGCCCTATTTTTTAATAGTTTTTATCCTGTGTTGATAAAGTTAATCTAACTCCTAGATTGTACACGTGGTCTTTCATTTTCCTTTAAGAACTTTATTATTTAAAAAATGTAAATCTTAGGGACGCCTGGGTGCTCGGTTGGGCAGCTGCCTTTGGCTCAGGTCATGATCCCCACATCCTGGGATCGAGTCCCACAACGGGCTCCTTGCTCGGCGGGGAGCCTGCTTCTCCCTCTGCCTCTGCCTGCCACTCTGTCTGCCTGTGCTCACTCTCTCTGACAAATAAATAAATAAAATCTTTAAAAAAAATTTAAATCTTAAATCCACCTGGATTTTTTTATATGGGTGGGGCTGCTAGCCCAACTTTACTTTCTTCCTGATTAAAAGCCAATTGTAACAGAATTCTTTATAAACATCTATTTCAGGATTTTCTATGCTTTTCATTGAAATGAACAGGTTCCTCTGCCAATACTTTATTAAAGTGACTTCATATTATATTCTGACATCTGGTATACAATTTTCTTTTTCATATTTTTCTTGTTTAGACTGTTAGAATAAATGTTCTTCCATAAGGACTTTAAGATCATTTCACATAAGATTTTTTAAAAAAGGCACAGACACTTAGTGTAATTCCAAAAGTAGTGCATTTAAGTTATTAGATGTTTACAGAGAGAAACTTTTAATTTCTATACTGTCTTCTCAGAAAATTATCTTTTAACTCAAAACAATTACTAGTCTCATTTACTGATATAAAATCATATCAGCAAAAAGTTTTACATTTTTTATTGTTTATACCAATTATTTATTTTCCATTGTCTTCTAAGACAATATTTAGTAAAAATAGACAGCAGTGAACACCCTTATCTCTAATACTATTAAATTCTTAATCTTCAAAAAATGGTTTTAACATAATATATGCTATAGAGTTTTGGTAAAGATACTCTTAAGTGGTTATTACATACTACAATTTAACTTGTATTAGATTGGAAATGTTTGCAAAATCCAATTAAATATCTTCCAGCATCTATTGATGGCACCTTCTCTTTCATACTATTAATTTTATTGATGTATTTCCTATTACTGCATTGACTCTGCATTCTTGGAGTAATTCTTCCTTGGTCATTATAATACATTGTTCTTAGGTATACTGCTGAATTCCATTTGCTATTATTTTAATTATAATTTTTTATTTCTAAGCTCATGGGTAAGACTGGTTTGGGGTTTTCTTTTTTCCACTACTTTGATTTGGTTTTGGAGTTAAAACTTACTCTGACTTCATAAAGTAAATTGGGGATCATAGTCTATGGGCTGAGATATTTCAAGTAACACTGGTATTACTCTTTAAAAGTTAGATGAGGGGCACCTCAGTGGCTCAGTCAGTTAAGCATTGACTCTTGATCTCAGCTCCGGTCTCAACCTCAGAGTCATGAATTCAAGTCCCATCTTGGGCTCCATGTCTTGGGCTCCATGCTAGGCATGGAGCTTACAAAAAAGTTAGATGAAACTAATTATGAAATCATCTGGGCCTGGAGCATTTTTCAATCCTAGATCTTTAATCACTTTTCCAAACTCTTCAAAGGTAATTGTTCTATCAAGTTTCTTACTGCAATTTTTCTAACTTACATTTTGCAAGAAAAACATTTATTTCCTCTTTTAAAAGCATGTTGATCTAAATTGGTAAGAAGTATCTTTTATCATTCTTATAATCACATCTTTATCTGGGATTATGTTTCTTTTTTTTTTTCCAAGTTTTTATTTAAATTCCAGTTAGTTAACATACAGTGTAATATTAGTTTCAGGTGTAGAATTTAGTGATTCATCTCATAAACACAATATCCACGTGATTGCTTCCTTTCTCATTCTGGATCAGGCATTCTTATACGGAGTCAAATCTTGAAAAACGTGGCCATTTGTTTTATTTGGATGACACAGCAGCTCAGGGAAGCAGACTTTTTTCAAAGACTGGAATGATGAAATGATTTGGGTTTTAGTGCCTAGGACATTCACAGGGAAACTGAGAGGGAAGAGAAGTGGATGTTGCTGAATTAATTTGCAAAAAGAAAACAAACCAACAAACACAAAAATCTCCTTCTTTGGTCTCTGCATGAAGCATTTCTGAATTATAAGACTCATATAAACAGTGTCTTTCCTATTAATTTGCAGCAAGGTATGTTAAGCAAGACTAAGAAAATAGAAGAGGTGCACAATATACCAGGGCCATACTAGTTTTTGTCAAATAATGGCTGGATTGAGTAATCAAGTTTATAATGTTTTGTTCATCCAATATTGGTTGTGAAACTATTCCTAAGCTTTGCCTTTTTAACATTAACAAATGTTATTATCATTTTTTTATATTGTTAAGACACTAAAAGACAGGGATGATATTTAGAGTGCAAAAGTTGAACAGCATTCTACATACTGTGTGACACACATACACTTGATATTCACAATTTACATTAAATTCACATTTACATTTCCAAAATATAAATAATGCTTATTATGTGGCTCACTGTGGAATATACCATAATATACCAATTCTCTTCACATATATTCTGTATGCTGTTGTCATTCCATTAACATACTTTTACACTTTCATAAGCCAGAGTGACCATGTTTATGTTTTATAAAGTATTTTCTATAATCTTTGTATAAAAATTTCTACAATTAGAACAAGACTTCCCTTATGGTAAAACATTTTGTTCAGATTCATTAAATCCATGAGATTTCTCCTAAAAATGAATGCCTGCACATATAATGAAATAGGACACCTTGCTTAAGGCTTTCTCACAATTATCAGGTTTTAATTCCTATAGGCATTCTTTCTGGCATGAATTTTCTGATGTCTACTTAGGTTTGGCTTCTGATAAAAAGCTTTGCCACATTCACTGCATCCATAGGGTTTTTCTCCTGTATGAGTTCTCCAGTGTTTATTGAGGCATGATTTTTGGCTGAAGGATTTCCCACATTCTCTGCAACGGTATGGTCTTTCTCCTGTGTGTATTTTTCGATGTACATTGAGGTATGACTTCTCGCCAAATGACTTCCCACATTCACTGCACACAAAGGGTCTCTCTCCAGTATGTGTTCTTTGATGTTCTCTGCGGTGTGACTTCTGAGTGAAGGCTTTCCCACAGAAAAAACATTCAAAGGGTCTTACCCCAGTGTGAATTCGCTGATGTTTGATGAGGGTTGACTTATGTGAAAAGGCTTTCCCACAGTCAGTGCATCCATATGGTTTCTCCCCAGTGTGACTTCTCTGATGCCTAATGAACTCAGACTTGTAGCAGAAGGCTTTCCCACATTCGCTACAGACATGGGGTTTCTCTGCAGGTGGAACCCTCTTACGTTTGTACGCAAGAGAATTGGTTACTGCTGGTTTATACATAAGTGCTGGGTTGTGGCTGAAAGCTTTCTCACAATGACTGCATTCCCAGAGTTTTTCTCCATTAGGTCTTCTATCATGGTTTGTATGTTGTAACAATTTCCCACAACCACAGCACTCATCTTGCTTTTTTGAATAGTTTCTTTTAAAACCAATCAAATCTAAATTATGGTTTGCACTCTTTCCACAGGGATCCCAGTTACTAGGATTTTGAATTGAAGGAGAAAGATTAGTGCTCAGAGGTGGTATTTTCCCAAACTTATTGTTTTCATGGCTTCTTTCCTTGGGCAATGTTTTCTTGCTGATGAATGCACCTTGTTTCAAAATCATGTCTTGTCTTTTCCTCTGGACATTAACTTGACAAATGTTTTCTGGAGAAAATACAGCAAACCTTTCTTTATTCTATTATTATGATCTAGAATAAAATTACTTGAGAAATACCCTAAGAATTTAAACAATGCATGGTATATGAACAGAAAGCATGAACCATAACTAAATGCAGGGAAGGGTGTTGTACAAGTAGAGAAGAATCACAACAGTGGCACAAATGAAATGGAATATGTCATAGAGTACATAAAGAAGTAATTTTGAAGAAGATGAGATATTGTAGAGCAGTAGTTGGCAAACATGTTCTTAAAGAGCCAGAGAGTAAATTTTAGGCTTTGTGGGCCATATGGTCTCAGTCAAAATTACTCAACTCTCCCATTGTACTTGGGAAACGCAGACAGTATATATGTAAAGGCATGGCTGTGTTCCAATAAAATTTTATTCACAAAATCAGGTGGCCAAACTATAGGCTGTAGTTTGTCAATCCTGTTACTGAGGTGTCATATAGCACCTTGCTTTTCAACGTGTGACTCTTAAAAGAGGGAAAAGAAAGGCAGCTGATGGCCAGGTTACTATGGTTTCAGGAAGGTTGATGAGCATAGTTTAATGAAGCAAAATGCATCCTGAAGGGCACCAGAATGTGATGGTTAAGAGTACTGGTTCTGAGGGTGCCTGGGTGGCTCAGTTGTTTAAGTGATTGCCTTCAGCTCAGGTCATGATCCTTGGGTCCTGGGATCGAGTCCTGCATCAGGCTCCCTGCTCGGTGGGGAGCCTGTTTCTCCTTCTCCCTCTGCTGCTCTGCCTGCTTCTGCTCTCTCTCTCTGTCAAATAAATAAATAAAATCTTAAAAAAAAAAGATTTCTTTAAAAAAAAAAAGTACTGGTTCTAAAACCTGATCACGTGGGCTTAAATCTGTTTCAGTCCCTTACTTTGCTATATGTTCTTTTTTTTTTTTTTAAGATTTTATTTATTTATTTGAGAGAGAGAGAGAATGAGAGGAAAGAGGTCAACGGGAGAAGCAGACTCCCTGCTGAGCAGGGAGCCCGTTGTGGGACTTGATCCCGGGACTCCAGGATCATGACCTGAGCCGAAGGCAGTTGCTTAACCAACTGAGCCACCCAGGCACCCTGCTCTATGCTCTTAGATAAGTTTCCTAACTTTTTTGTGATTGCTTCATTTGTAACTGGGGTAATAAAGGCTGGATATCTCATAGGTGTTGGAAGGGTTGAATGAAATGATATATGTAAAGGGCTGAGAACAAATCTAGCACAGAGTGAGCACACAGTTAGTGCTGGCCGATAATTCTAGTGCTATTGCTGCTACTACTACAGCCAAGGTGGATGAACAGTGGATGGCAGTGATTTCAGAGACATCATCTCGGGGAGAAGCATGACAATGACTTGAATATTTTTGGGGATCATGTAATATTTAATTCAATTATGTGATTATAACACCAAGTGTAAGTAGCGTAAACAGATGTGGAAACAGACAGCACTAACTTCTTGCTAAGCCCATGACTCTTGTGGAGAGGTACAAGTTCAGAGGCATCCTTAAGAGCAGGTTACTGACACTTGGGGTACCGTGGGTATTGTTGGGATATTTTACATAAGCTGATGGGAGAGAGGCAGTTATTCTGAATGTTAAATGAAAGTGGTTAAGATGGGCCAAGCTCAGTCATATGCTTTACTGCCTCACTGTCCTTGGTTACCTGAAATTTAATACTTCCTCCTCTTGGACTTAAGGAAACTAAAGGACTAAGGGATAATTGAAGGGATTAAGGAAAGGATGGGAAGTGAGAGTGTGCGTATGGAGGGCAGGTCTGGGGCATTTTACCTGGAAACTGTGAGAACAGGAAATAGGAAGGGACCAGCAGGAGTGGGAGAATGACAGAAGCTTACTTTAAGAATGTCTGAATGTAAAAGAGAAGGTGAACTGAAAACCTTAAGTTAAAGAGACTGAGGATTCTAGAGAAAGGGCAATGGAGCAAGAACACAGGGAGAGGTGAGATGAGGAGGAGAAGGAATGCCTGGATAAAGGAGGTGGGGTGCATGGAGGAAGACGGGTCATCAAGAAGGCTCAAGTTCTCAGAGGACGTCTCCAGCTGATTGCAAAGCTCTAAGGCTTTTGAGAGCTGGACTCTGCACAGAATCCCAAAGGTGCCAGCCTACCATAGTACCTCTTTTGCTGGACTGATACTTACCCTGACAGGGGCAGCCTGAGCATGCTGCCTCACAAAGCCATGGCGCTTCTTCCTGCTCCAGCTTGAGGATCACATAAGGTTTCGTGCCTTCATAACCTGTTCCAGGGAAATGATCCAGGCCTTGGGCTGAGCTCCTTGGTCTTCAGGGCCACTCAGGCAGCATTAAAGGCTGCACAACAGACATTGTCCTTGGGAGAAGACTGTACACACACCTTGTCTAGAACCCAAAAGGAATTAGTAACCCAGGACCACTGAACCTCAAGCCAAACTCACTGAGGCAGCACAGTGTACGAGTGAGGAATGCAGACTGTGGGGGTACCTGGGTGGCTCAGTCATTGGGCATCTGCCTTTGGCTTGGGTTGTGGTCCCAGGGTCCTGGGATCAAGCCCTGCTCTGGGCTCTCTGCTTGGCGGGGGGCCTGCTTCTCCCTCTCCCACTCCCCCTGCTTCTGTTCCCTTTCTCACTGTCTCTCTCTCTCTGTGTCAAATAAATAAAATCTTAAAAAAAAAAAAAAGGAATGCAGACTGTGCAGATTGCTGGGGTTCAAATCCTACTCTGGCTCTGTATGTCGGTATGTGAGGTGACACGGGCAAGTTACTTCACCCATCTGCCTCTGTATCCAAATGTGTAAAATTGTGGTACTAACAGTACCTACCTCATAAGGCTCTTAGGAGAATTAAGTAAGTTGATATTTTAAAAGTGGCTGAAGAAGTGTCTGGCACATAGGAAGTTTTTGGTACTTCTGAGGCTCTAGGTACCTCAGTGCCTTTTAGCAACTGCAAAAGGGAAGGCGGTCGTTCAGGCATCATCTAGATTGTGTGATGGAGCTGTTCTTACCCACGGAGACAAGGTTGCTGTAGGTCTCCAGCATCACATCCCGGTACAGTGCCCTCTGAGCAGGATTCAGCCTGTGCCACTCCTCTTGGGTGAAGCCCACTACCACGTCTTTGAAGGACACAGTTCTCTGCTGAGGATGAAATGACACTGAGCCATGTGGGAAATGCAGCCAGGGACAGATGGTATGGAGTTTTTATGTTCCTAGGTCAGAGCTTACCATGATCATTTATCTACCTAAGATGGCTTTTACCTTCCTGCCTTTGGGCTTTATATGGTAGGGAAAATAACAATCACATTGGAACCCACTTTGAGTCACTTTGAGTCAACCTATATTGACTGAAGAAGACTTGCTGTGTGTCACCCAGTGCTGGCTGCTGGAGACACAGTCATGGATGGTTCCTGACCTCAAGGACCTCACAACCTGGTGGAAAGCATTACGTAAAGCCATCCAGGTGAGAGTATACGAGCTATGGTGGCAGGACATCTAGGTTATAATATGTGGAAAACTGTGAATGGTCCATTAAATGTTTCAAGGTCTAGCCAGGCTTCAGAGCTAGGGGACTTGTACAGCTGAGTCTTCTCTACAGAAAGATGGAGAAACTACAGTCCTTGCAGAGGGAGCAGCATGAACACAGGCATGTGGACAGAACAGTGACTTTAAGGGCTGCGAGGCTCTCAGTAACAGGAACAGTATACAGGGGTCTGTGAGTGATCAGATGACGGGCTTTAAGACAATGGAAAATCTACCAAGGGAGAGGTGTATGTAGAAAGCACATTCTATTAGGCATGTGGTAAGTTTCTTGCATCCCATGTCTCCTATGTCAAGTGGTACTGTGGTAACTCTAAGCAGACTGGGGATATACTGTATCCCCAGAGGAACCACTAAATCAGAGTGCAAAGAGGTGTACTGCAGTAAATGAATTCCAAAAATTGTTCGTTTAATCCACACAAACACACATGTAAGAGAAGAAAGAGAGGAACAAAAGTGCATGGGACAAATAGAAAACCAAATGCTAAAATGATAGATACAAACCCAACCACGCCAATAATTATACTTATAGTCAATGACAGTAAATTATAATATAAATTAATATATGACTGAAACACTCCAAAAGGCAGAGATTGTTAGGCTGGATTGAAAAAGCAATGCTACCTGTAAGAGATACAAAACTCAGATAATTTGCAAGTGAATGGATACAAAGAGAAATGTGGTGGGTGACCTAGAGGGAAGCGAAAGCAAAGACTGTAATAACGCAGGTACAAGGTGGCGTTCACAAGTGGCCAGTAACAGTGGGACAGAGAAGGGCCGTTGTAAAGAGCAGACCCTGCATCTTAACTGCTTGTGGGGGGTGAAAAAGGGGCCAGGGTAACACCCAAGTATCTCAAAGCCATCTGGTGATGGTGAATCAGATGTGAGAAAAATAGTAGAAACTAGAAACAAAGAGGATGTGTTATTAGACATGTCTGGGGACACTTAGCAGGCAGCAGGATGAACATATGAGTCTTGTAATAGCAGCAAGATGGGAAGGGAACTAAAGCTCTGGAAGCCAGCAGCAGAGAAGTGGTAGCTAAAGTTGTCAGTGTGGGATCTCTCTGTAAGGAGACAGGATGAGCAAAGTGCCCAGGCCAGAGCCCCAAGGGACACTAATAGAGTTCAGCTGCAGACCCAAGAGAAGGACCCACAGGTACTAATAACGTTAAGAGGGCACCTGTGATATTGTGACATATTAAAAAATATCTATTTGGTCTTTCTTCATGGTTCCTGGAATAGAGCTTCTTAAACCCTTGTAACTTTCCAAGTAACAGGGTAATAGGAGTGTCTTTTGTTATTCCTAACAAGCCCCAATTAACAATATAGGAGTTTATGCCAATAACATGGAGGAAAGGGGCTGGTTGCCAGAGGAACTAACCATATGATTAGAGGGTTGGAACTTTCAGCCCCCTTCTCTATCCTGCCCAACCTATGGGTCGGGATAGGGGTGGATGGATGGTACCAGAGATTGAGCTAATTACCAGTTAATGATTTAATCAATGATGCCTACATAATGGAAATATCATGAAAATTCTGAAGAGCTTTCAGGTTGGTGAACACATCTGGGAAGATGTACACCCCAAACTCCAGACAGAAGCTCATGTCTCCCAGATCCCCAGATCTGTGCGTCATTATAGCAAATTATCAAAACTGAAGAGGGGGTCATGGGAACCCCTGATTTACAGCTAGTTGGTCAGAAGTTCAGGTGACAACCTAAGATTTGTAATTAGCATCTGAAGGGGGGGGCAGTCTTATGAGACTGAGTCCCTAACTTGTAGGGTCTATGCTAACTCCAAGTTGAACTAAGTTGTAGGACACCCAGTTGGGCGTCCACAGAGAATTAGGAGAATTGTTTGGTGTAGGAAAGAAACTCCCCTATTCCTATGAGTAGAGGAAACAGCACCTATGATATATCTTCAAGTGACTATAAAAAATTGAACCTTGCCCCAAGAGAGGTCTGATCTTTGCCCTCAACTCCTAGGAGTTAATCTCTAAGCCCCTGCAGTGTTCTGCTTGATAAGACCATCTTTGTTTACCTGGGGGTCTTGGGCCACATGGGATAGTCTAACAATATGATTTCTGGTGGGAGCTTTGGGTCACACACATCAGCTCAACCTCAGGAGGAAGCCGTACATCTCTTTAAAAAATGTGGGGTCCTACAGTGGCACCAAGCAGATGAACCTGAAGGCAGGACCTGGTACCTGAGACCCTAGACCCATATAAAGGCCATGTACATAGGAGGTACCAACCTGATATCCTCTCTGATGTCAGAATAATATACCATTGTTGTGGGAGAGCAGCAATCAGCCTTAACCACAGAGCATGGAGCTTGGCTCAGTTGACAGGCCTGGGTCGGTATTTCCCAAACAGAGATAACTGGAGTGGGATGGGATGGGATGGAATAGAACAGAATAAAATAGAAAAGATGTAATTTGACACTCTAAAAGGCATGTCATTTTTCATCAAACACAGGGATGAAGAACAAAGATGGAAGAAACATTAAGGTTGTAAAATTACTATCACGTAGTGACTGAGTGTGAGAAGGGGAAGGCAGAGAGAACTCAAGGAATAAATCTCATGGTACTGACTTGTCCGCTGGGGGATGGTACCATCTCCTGAGATGGGAAACTGGGGCACAAAGAGGTTCAGAGACTTGTGCAAGGTCATACAGATGGTAAGATCTGGGATTCAAATTCAGCAGTCTCGTTCAAAGTCTGTGCTCTTACCCAGTATATGTTCTTGCCTTCTGCACAAAAGGGGCTTTGCAAAAGGTACAGTCTAATTTAGCAGAACAGTCAAAAAGCATCTTCTGATTTCAGCTTCAGCAAAGTCCCCTGGGCTCCTGGCCAGAAAAGCTTTAGTAAAGTGGGGCGAGAGGATGCTGGACTCAAGAAAGAATAAGAAACAGGATATGGAAACATCAAGAGCAGGAAGTCACTATAGGAGATGGAGGAGGAGAGAAAAGAAAGAACTCTGTGGTTTGGAAGTGGTGATGGTTTCTAGGGTTGGAGCCATTGTAGGGACAAGGGAAAAGATCTGGGAAAACGGAGAGGAGGGGTCTCCAGAAAGAGATGTCCCTTCCCGGAGGGAGGCCTCCAAAGACGTGGAAATGTAGGAACTCAGAGGCTGAGGGGGAGTCCTGTCAAGACACAGGGCGCTTCACCATCTTAAGATGATGAGGAAGGTAGGGGGAGCTGGGAACTCTTCACACCAAGACTTGGTGGGGAGTAAGATGTTCACTGTTTGCTGCCAAACTAGTAAAATTCCCAGTTAAGAGAATGACAGTAATTTAAGTAACGGACAGCTCATCTGTTCCTCAGTCTAGATCAAGAACACAGATACTCTGGACCAAAATCAGGGCTTCCATAAACGTGAAGGAACCTTCCTGCCCACTCCCTTTGAAAATAAATAATATTTGTATTTTTGCTTTCGTCTAACTGAACTTTAGCATTTTATTCCATTACATATGTGGCTGCAAAGCACAGAGTAGTTAAAACTTCCCGCAACTCTGACACAGATGGAAAACACTAACAAAACATCGGGAAGCTAAGTCATGATGCTCTTGATCGCCTGGAAATCCAGGAGTTCTGTGGAACTAATACTCCAAGGGAAGAGCTGAAACACTGTAGAAAATATGATTCTGCATTTGTTATCTTTAAGTATTTTATACTGTATGTCAGTGCTTCTCACAGTTACAAGAGCGTAAAGGACCACTGAGAGCTTGTTAAACACAGATTCCCAGGCTCCACCCTCAATTAACCCAATTCAAGCAGGTCTGGAGTGGGGCCTGCCATTCTGTGTGTCTAATAAGCTCCTGGAGAAGCCCGTGTCCTGGAACCACATGGTTAGCAACAGTGTTGCTCTACTCTACCTCAGCCATAAGAAGGCTCCTCAGGGACATGTCTTTAGAAAACATCTTGAAAAGCTAGTTTTCGGGGCGCCTGGGTAGCTCAGTGGGTTAAGCCTCTGCCTTCAGCTCGGGTCATGATCCCAGGGTCCTGGGATCGAGCCCTGTCGGACTCTCTGCTCAGCATGGAGCCTCCTTCCCCCTCCCTTCTCTGCCTGCTGCTCTGCCTACTCTCTTTCTGTCAAATAAATAAATAAAATTAAAAAAAAAAAAAGAAAGAAAAGCTAGTTTTCTCTTAGAAATAACAGCAAGCATCAGACACATGAAAAAATGTTCATCATCACTAGCCATCAGGGAGACTCAAATCAAAACCACACTGAGATACCACCTTACACCAGTTAGAATGGCCGAAATTAGCAAGACAGGAAACAACATGTGTTGGAGAGGATGTGGAGAAAGGGGAACCCTCTTACACTGTTGGTGGGAATGCAAGTTGGTGCAGCCACTTTGGAGAACAGTGTGGAGATTCTTTAAGAAATTAAAAATAGAGCTTCCCTATGACCCTGCCATTGCACTACTGGGTATTTACCCCAAAGATACAGATGTAGTGAAAAGAATGGCCATCTGTACCCCAATGTTTATAGCAGCAATGGCCACAGTCGTCAAACTGTGGAAAGAACCAAGATGCCCTTCAACGGACAAATGGGTAAGGAAGATGTGGTCCATATATACTATGGAGTATTATGCCTCCACCAGAAAGGATGAATACCCAACTTCTGTAGCAACATGGACGGGACTGGAAGAGATTATGCTGAGTGAAATAAGTCAAGTAGAGAGAGTCAATTATCATATGGTTTCACTTATTTGTGGAGCATAACAAATAACATGGAGGACATAGGGAGATGGAGAGGAGAAGGGAGTTGAGGGAAATTGGAAGGGGAGATGAACCATGAGAGACTATGGATTCTGAAAAACAATCTGAGGGTTTTGAAGGGGTGGGGGGTGGGAGACTGGGGGAGCCAGGTGGTGGGTATTATGGAGGGCACGTATGGCATGGAGCACTGGGTGTGGTGCATAAACAATGAATTCTGTTACACTGAAAAGAAACTAAAAAAAAAAAAAAAAAAAAAAAAAAAAGAAAGAGAACAGCAAGCTTCTATCCTATGGCCAATGCAAATCATGGGCTGTCTGTGTTTGCTTTTTTGCTGGGCCACCAGGAAGACCACAGTTAATGACTCTTCGTTGGACTGTTTTGTATATCTGTATTCCAACAAAGAATGTTCCTTGCATCATTCATTGTAATATCAAATTTGGAAATTACCTGAATGTCATAAAATGGGGGGCTAGTTAAATAAATCATATTCCATGCATATGATGGAGCATTATGTACCTTGCTTTAAAAAAATGGTGTGGGGGCGCCTGGGTGGCTCAGTGGGTTAAAGCTCTGCCTTAGGCTCAGGTCATGGTCCCAGGGTTCCGGGATCGAGCCCTGCATCGGGCTCTCTGCTCAGCGGGGAGCCTGCCTCCCCCTCTCTGCCTGCTTGTGATCTCTCTCTCTGTCAAATAAATAAATAAAATATTTTAAAATAAATAAATAAAATTTTAAAATGGTGCGGTCCCAAGTACTAATATGTACAATCTCTAAGATATTTTAACTGGGAAAAAAAGGGATAGAGTAGTATGTATAATAAGGGTCTTGCCGTTGTATCTATGTGTAGACAGAAGCTGTGATGTTCCACCCAAATCCCCCGAAGGACTGAGGTGTTTATCCCAGCTGTTAGGAGAAGACTGGCTACTGCAGGCTTAAGCCCTTTTGCAAAGAGTCCTTGATCAAAGGGAGCTACCCACACAAACTTACGTCCCCTCCCTGGGGCAGCCTACGACCAGTGACTTGTTGATTTCGGAATATAAATGCTTCCTTCCCTCCATTCAGGACAACAGCAAGGGCCATCCCAGCTCCAAAGCATCTTGTAAGGTCAGCTGGTGCTTCTGTTTAAATCCCACTCTCTAATCTTGCTTCCTTCGCTCCTTATAGGTATTCTAAGAGTCTCCCTAGTAAACCTCTTGGGTGCAAATCTCCCACCTCCAAGTCTGTTTTCTGAAAACCCAGGCTGTGGTAAAGTATAAATGCCTGAAATGCACATATTTTTTTCTAGAACAGTTTCCCAAGAAGGGAAACTTGGCTACTTTATGCCACACTTACCTGGTACTCAATCATTTTCTGCTGTTCTTGGGAAAAGATTTGAGTCCTGTGAAGATAGAGATTGGGGGGAGGAGGATGGAGAAAGAGAGAACAGAGCTGTGAGGGACCAGGCCCATCTCGGAACTTGCGAAGTCCCTACATAAACCCAAGCTTGAAATTACTGCGGTAGAAGAAGAAGAAAAAAAAAAATAACGGTGCCATTCAATGCAGAATGTGAATGAATAAAACAGATCTCCCGTGAAGTAAAAGCTGCTACCAAGTAAGAAGTAAAAATTTATAAAAAGCCAGAATCTTTAAAATTTAAATAATTGGCCCCATGGGAGATGGAGCCAGACACATGCTCTGAGTGGGATCACCCCTGCAGAACAATACATTTTCTCTTAAAGGCAAAAAGTCTTGGGTTTTGCCTCTTATTTACTTTTAAAGTTGCACTTGTTCACCTACCGGTGTTTATGAAATCCTATATTTGGGATGCTTTTTCTATAATAATGTTATCATGAAAAAAAGTATATACTGAAAAAGGGCTTTTGTAACTCATTACAGAGAACTCAAGGCAATATAAAATAACTGTATAACATTAGTAAAACTAATGGTTACTTACACTGTGGTATGAATTATTACTGAAAGGCTAACCCTCATTATTCATCCAGTGTATTATTAAGTGTTGTTAAAAAGTAATTTTCAGGGGCGCCTGGGTGGCTCAGTGGGTTAAAGCCTCTGCCTTCGGCTCAGGTCATGATCCCAGGGTCCTGCGATCGAGCCCCACATTGGGCTCTCTGCTCAGCGGGGAGCCTGCTTCCCTTCCTCTCTCTGCCTGCCTCTCTGCCTACCTGTGATCTCTGTCTGTCAAATAAATAAATAAAATCTTTAAAAAAAAAAAGTAATTTTCAACAGATGAGAAAAAACAACTGTCATTTTTAATTAAGATGTTTAGTTAAAGAGGTAACTATGTGGCTTAAATTATAAAAGAGAAAGGGTAAATCATAGATCACGAGTGTAAATATTTTATGACATACCTGGATGGTATGGTAAAATGGTAAAATCATGCTACATCTGAAGCAAAGAATGCAAGAAGCATCTTTGTAATTCTGAGAGCCAGAAAGCAAAGACACTTCTTCAGTGATGGGTCCTGGCAAGGGGGCAGAGGAGGCAGCCTCAAGGGCTCCAACCATGTGAGAAGGAGCAGTAAGACCAAACTGGTCAAATCTACCAAAGCTAAACATGAATACATCATGGTCCAGTAATTCCATATGAATGCATATGTTCACAAGCTTTTAGTCTATAAAAACTATGAATTTATAATGAAATTCAAAAATCACAATATTACCTTTTTTCCTCCTAAAATAACTGGTACTGTAATTAAATAGGACTACTAAAACATGCAGACTCCCAATTTCCAAAACATCCATACATTAGGAAATGTGGAACTAAATTGGTACAAAAAAGTTAATAAAGACTGTTTGGGTTTTTCACTCACAGAAGTGAGAAACCTTATAAAAGGTCCAAAAATACTGTGTCAATAATCGACAGCCTGGAATTAAAAATCCACATTCAGGAGTGACAAGCACTCTCATGCATGGTTGACAGGATTATAACTTGGTTCAGCCATTTTGGGAAACTGGCCATATCTACTAGAAGCTTCCATTTAGTTTAGTGATTAGCAGGACACCAGATTCAAGGGGAAAAAAATTCCTTCAAAATGAATACATTCTCCTAGCTTTGTTTTACAGAAGTCTTTTCTCACTAATCTACTGACAAATCATCTTTCGATAAAGGAAATGATAAAGTGCCAGAAATATTCTCTGTCATGATCTGGGTGGTGGGTATATGAGGGTACACATGTGGAAACATTAGTAACATTATAGTGCTAAATGAGTTAATGATTTACTTTACTCAGTGGACAATAAATATCCACTTTTTTTTTTTTTTAAGATTTTATTTTCTTATTTGACAGAGAGAGATCACAAGTAGGCAGAGAAGCAGGCAGAGGGAGAGGGGGAAGCAGGCTCCCCGCCGATCAGAGAGCCTGATGCTGGGCTCAGTCCCAGGACCCAGAGACCATGACCCGAGCCGAAGGCAGAGGCCCAACCCACTGAGCCACCCAGGCGCCCCTCCAATATCTCTTAAATGTATGAAAATGCTTTGAAATATTGTACAGGTCAGAAAGCATGACTCATATAGCACAGTTAGTGTAAAACAGACATTTAGCTATCAGGACTGTGCAGTGAGCTTATTATACCTTTTAAAAGATTTTTTCCTGTACAGAAGTATAATTTATATATAATAAATGAATCCAGTTGAATTGTATAGTTTGATGAGTTTTGACAAATATATTCATTCACCCACATAACTCCCACACAATCATGATATGGAACACTTCCAGGAACATCCTGTTCACAAGATATAATAATGAATTTGTCTTAAGGTGTTAAGATTAACTACTTAGATTCCTGTCTCTTCTATAGAAGAAATTAAAAAAGTGATTTCCTTGAATGTTAAAATACAGATACTTCTTTGCTTAACTAATACCTTAATCAAGTTATGCCAGTAAGTCAAAAAAGTAGTTAAATAAAAATATGATCTACTGTTCGAATTTCACTTATATGAAGGTCAGAAACAGACAACCCTCACCTATATGATAGCTCTGACTCTAGGCACTGCTTGGGAGGGTTGGGGGAAGGCTTTGGGGTGCTGGAAATGTTCTCTATTATGATATGGGTGGTGAGTACATGACTGTGCACATATGGAACAATTCATTAAGCTACACACTATTCTCTACGCATTGTTACACCTTAAGTTAAAAAAAAAATCCCCACAATCCCATTATTTAAAAACATGTAGAAAAGCTTTTGGTATGAAATACAATAAAATGTTATTAGTGCTATGACTTGGGTGGCAGAAAGTTTCATATTCTGATCTATAACTGAAACACACACACACACACACACACACACACACACACCATTATTTACATATTCCTGTTCTACTGCCTTTTTTCATCATGAGGGAAGCCACAGGAGGGCTTTACAAGGGGGAGGAGGCCCTCTAAGAGAACTGAACTGTCCACCAGGGATTGAGCTGGCAGGAAAGGCCTGGGGCCGAGCAGCCCAGGGCAGTTAATCCAGCTTTGGATAACTATTTGATTCTCTGAAAGAGTACACTCCCTCACTCTTCTCTCCAGACTTAGCTATTTGCTTCAGCCTGGTCTCTCCATGGCTGCAAGGTGTGGCAGATGTGCTAGTGAATGTGTGTCTGGAGGCCTGTGTTCTGGCCTGGCTCCGGGACCATCTAGGTCTGTGGCCTGGGAAAGTCACTTCATTCCCCTTTAAATGAGATGGCAGCATCAGTGGATGAGAAAATGCTGGTAAGAGCTGGAGGAAAAACAGAATATCTATATAGTATCGAAATTTCCTGCCCCCAGATATTTATTCATTATAAAATGAAAAACTGTAACTCTGCCCTAGAGAAACCTGGCAGATAGCACTGGTAAGTGATAGTTAACACACAGTGATGGGACACGAGTCATGTGCCCCCGATATGATGAAGTGTGACAGGCACTGCATCCCTTCTGTGATATTTTGCCCAAAATGCATACTTGAATCTAATCATGAGGAAACATCAGACAAAATCATGAGAGTGACAATAATACAAAATAACTGGCCTATACTCTTCAAAAATGTTGACTTCATGAAAGACAAAAAGACTGAGGAACTGATTCCCATTAAAAGAGACTAAACGGATGTCAACTAAAGGTAGTCTGTGATCCTGAACTGGATTCTGGAATGAAAAAAGAAATGTTATGAAATGACACTATTGGTTCACATCTGAATATGGACTGTGGATCAGATAATGGTATTAAATCACTGAGTTAACTGCCTGATTTTGAAAATTGCATTATGGTTATATAGGAAAATGCTCTCATTCTTACGAAATGCACACTGAAGTATTTTGGGGGTAAAGGAGCATCAGGTCTGTAACTTATTCTCAAATACTTGAGAAGAAAGGACAAAAATAATATATATTGATAATATAACCTTTACATATACAGAGACGGCATGAGAGTGTAAGCGTTTATCTGGGTGAACGTACATGAAAGATAGAAAAGCTGATGGTAATATCCCTGCAACTTTTCCAAATAAAGTTTAATTTTAAAAAATCTATAGCTAGGGGCACCTGGGTGGCTCAGATGGTTAAGCATCTGCCTTTGGCTCGGGTCACGATGCCGGGGGTCTCAGGATTGAGCCCGGCATCGGGCTTCCTGCTCAGTGCGGAGCCGGCTTCTCCCTCTCCTACTGCTCCCCTGCTTATGCTCTCTCACTCTCTCTGTCAAATAAGTAAATAAAATCTTTAAAAATAAATACATAAATAATCTATAGCTCTAGTAGGTCTGCTGCCACTATCACTCTGAGAACCCAGGGACTTTTCTGTCCCTTAGTCAGGATGGAGTAAACTCCCCATATGCCTTGAGGCCAGGTGAGGTGGCAGAAATGACAAGGGAGCAATTTAGAAAGTGCCAGTAAGTGTAAGAGAGTAGGCTGGCACATCACATGCTCTAAGATGGCAGAAGGTACTGTGTTGGACTGATACCTCCTTCTCTTGAGAAAACATGCCTATCTCACTTGGCTTTCCTTGCTTCCGCCTTTGCTCCATCTCTCTGAAACTTGGGACCAACCCTTCCCTTACCATGGAGGGTCCCTGGAAGGGGTGACACCAAGTTGAGTCTTGCTCAGCTTCTGGCCCAGGGAGGATGCTATTTCCTGTTACTTAGGAGTCTTTGCTCTGGCAAGAGGTCTCGGAACCTAGGTTGACCTTCAGAAGAGATTCTTGTCCCAAGTTCCCCCTCTCCAAATCCAGAGGGTCTTCAACTGGCCTACTAGTTCCTCACAGCTCCATCTCTCAACAGTAACTCACCTTCAGCTGCAGCCCCAGGCAGGGCCTTCTGGAGACTTGACCAAGGTCCTGTGATGCCCTGCTATGAGTGAGGTGGTGGGACCCACAGGTATACAGGGTACTCAGGTAACCTGAAGATAAACAGACCCCATGGTAAGAGTCATTCAACAGTCCCTCCCCAAATATTCTCTGAGGCCCAAGAGGAAGAAGCCTGCAGAGGACTGTGTAGGAGATAGAGCTAAGTGATGGCTTGCTTTGGGTTTGGGGCAGGAGGATCTTCTGGAAGGCCTGTGAGTCTCAGAACCACTCAGAGAGAAGTCTGAACCAAGCAATTCTGCTAACCAACTGAGGGGAATCTAGACCAAACAATTTACCTCCCTGGGGGTGTTTTCTTATCTGTGAAAACAGGAATGATAAATGATAAACATAATTTTAAAAAGCCCATTTCTGGAGACTTTCTGTAAGTTACCTCTTTTAATACATATTCAGGTAAGGTTGAAAGGGGCTGAATTATGAATTAACACCTGCTTTCCCAGATAAGTCAGGTTGGATGTGAGGGACAGAGGCTTCTCTGCCCCTGAGTGAATCTACCAGATGTTCTGGGTTCCCTAAGAAAGGTTCCTTTCAGAATATCCTACATTTGCTGAATCATTGTATCTTAGCCCCAGAGCAGGGAACCCCTTTGAAGACTCTTTCAAGCTGCCTAATTTAGGTCTCTGCAGCCAAAAGTCAGTCTCTAAAAAGCTAATAAGAGATTTTGACCAGGGGGCTCTGAGACTCCCCTCCGAATATCTACAGAGAAGAACCATCCTCAACTCATTAACAACCTTAAGAGCAGAACCCTTATTCAAAGTCCACTCCAAATCCACAGAGTCCATTTCACTGTGCATGTTTTGGCTTCTAGAAGGACTAGCAGAAAACAGGCAATCTTAAATGGCCCAGCCAGGGCTACAGGTCAGAATTTTGTTCTGGTGCTCGATTTTAGAGTCTCGGACAAAACTTCCCCATGGTATGAATGTTTTGCCCCCAGATTATTTCTGTGATTCCACTCAAATCAAGTTCAAAAATGGACAAAATTACTCCATTATATTAGACCCAGAGGTGGCAGTGGGTACTGATCGATAAAGAAGGCTTCAGGGTGCTAGAGATGATGTACATCTTGATCTTGGTTGTATTTACGTGTAGAAATTCACTGAGCTATACCCTTAAGATAAGCATACTTGACTGTATGTATACCTCAGTTTTTAAAAAAAGAATAATAATCTGGAAAAATGTACAAATAAAATGAAATAATCTGGATTCAAACTTAAAAAACGTTCATGCATAGCCACATACTGCCTCTCTCTTCCTATCCCCCTCCCCTGGCCCCAGGTATGAATGTTCCATCTAATCAGAGTTCAAAAACAGGCAAAATTAATCAGTGATATTAGAAGCTGGGAGAATGGTTCCCCCTGGCAGGGTAGTGACAGGAACACATATCATGGAGGCTTTCAGGATGCTACAATGTTTTTTTTCTGATCTGAGTACATTACTCAAGGGAGTTCCTTTTGTGACAATTCACTGAGCTGCATATTTAAGTATATCTCTGTATATATCTTATATCTCAGTAACAGGTTCATATTAAAAATTTAAAAAAGAAAACTTATTTGTTCCCAAACATGGCACTGAACACACCATAGGTGATGAAGAAAATAGCCACAAGCAAAAGAAAATACCTTCAACTCCTAACTCCTTATCCGAGCTAATGACTTCTGCCCCAGAGCAACTACCTATCTTTGATTCTGTGCAACTGAAAACAGAGGCTATCTGCTCTAAAAACTAAAGCTTGATGTGTATGGCTTCTGAAAGATATTTACCTGCCTTACCTTTCAGCTTCCTTTGTTTCAGAAGATGTTATAGTTATTGTGCTTTGCCTGAGAACTACATAAGGATCAGATACAATACTTTAAAACAAGAAAATACTGTTTTGGCATTTCACCCTAATGGTCAAAATCTTATCTCCATGGTATTTGTAGTCTTGTCTCAGCCCATCTTAATTATCAGTAGTTTGACTTTAATTTCCGTGAAGAGCAGTTTCTAAAAGTAGCTTTAAGTTTTGTTTTTGTAGTTTTATCTTCATTGAATTATTCTACCAGGATATTACAAAGAACAGATTCAAGGAGGTCAAAAGTGTCATGCCTAAAAAAATAGAGACCAAGGCAAAAGGATTCTTAGAACACAGTTTTGGGGCACCTGGGTGGCTCAGTGGGTTAAGCCTCTGCCTTCAGCTTGGGTCATGATTTCAGGGTCCTGGGATCAAGCCCCACATCAGGCTCTCTGCTCAGCGGAGAGCCTGTTTCCCCCTCTCTCTGCCTACTTGTGATATTTCTCTCTCTGTCAAAATAAATAAATAAAATTTAAAAAAAAACTCATTAAAAAAAAGAACACAGTTTCTTTTCCTTACATAATTTATTTGTTTTTTCCCCAGCCTTATTGAGGTGACATATAATATTGCATAAGTTTAAGGTGTACAATACCATGATTTGATATACGTATATATTTCAAAATAATTACCACAGTAGGGTTAGTTAACACTTCCATCACCTCACATAATTACTTTATGCATATGTGTGGAGAGAACATTATTTTTAAGTTAAGCCTAGATAAAATTATTTTCCAAACACCCTCGAAGTTTGTTCCTTTGACCAAATCTTTTACAATATCAGTTTAGATACTTACTCAGTAAATTCTTTGTTTTCTAACCACAGGCAAAGTCACCTCCATCCTAGCTTCCATGGGGTCAGACTAGATTTTCAGAAACCAGACTCACCCTTGGGATGTTGTCACAAATGGATACATCATTACCGTTGCCAGAAAGGGCCTTAAAGGAAACATTGAAAGAAATATGCACTAAATCCTTGGCAAAAGCAATAGAAGCCACATTTTTAATAACGTGGTACTTCAGGTAAGTTTAACATTTGGTCTTTTCAAAGCACTTTCATTAATGTGGGGAACAATAAAAAAGGGGAACAATAAAAACAATAAAAAAAAATTAATGTGGGGAACAATAAAAAGGTTTCAAAGAATTTTGATGTGGGCTTTTGCAGAGGTACTAGACTGAACTGAACTGAATGTTCATCAGCTGGAGGGTGTCACAGGGGAAAAGTGTGCTCCCATTATGCAGGGCTGCAGCCTCAAATCCTTAACTCTCCCATCCCTAACCTCTAAATTTCACAATCCTTCTCAACACCCATTAAGCTTCCTACTCATAGACATATATAGTGCCTCAATCTACAGCAAAGGTTCTTGTAGTCACTGATATCCCTGTATGTCCAAACACGACCATCAAAGACTGCTAGTCAGTGACTACAAAGCTCACTGATAGGTTCTGATTGCCCAACAGTGAATTACACAAATCCCTAATCGCGAACCCATACTGCTCTCCAATGATATCCCAATGAGTGAAAAACAATCGTTGACCCCCACAGTCCCACCTCACCCCGCAATTACTGACAGCCCCAATCACTGACACCCATTGATCCTTGTGTTCTCCATTCCCTGATCTACGAAAGACCAATCTCTAAAACCTTCAGATTCCTCCTCCCATCCATGATCTAACGGATGTCTCAATCACTGATGGCCTAAAGCATTTCTCTAAACACTGGTCCCCATAAGCCCCTCCCATCACTTAACCTCAAAGTTTCCACAATCATCACTTTCAGGTACCCAAAAAGAACTTGGAACCTCCAATCACTGATCCTCTCAGGCTTTGAACATTGAGCTCTAATGCTGTTCAAACCAGTGCTTTTGAAGCACCCCACTTGGCACCAAACCCCTGAAGACCACTATAAGCTGACCACTCACTCTTCGAATCAAGAAATCGAGAACCCTCATTTATTAATTCCCAAATACTCCCAATCCATCTTCACAGACACTGCCATTGACTCCCACAAACCTCCACCAGCCACCACAGACCCCCAGGAGGCTCCCATGTCCAATCACTTAACCCTTTCCGTACCTTCCTCTCTGACCCTTACGGGCACCCATGACTGACCCAGTCGGGCCACCGTAGTCCTCCGATCACTAACCTACAGGGGTCTTTAATTTCGACTGTTTCTCACACTGACCTTTCCCATTTCTCCTGGATCCGCGTCCATAACCCGAAATTGATAGCCGGACCACAGTGCCTCACCGCAGTATAATCTCTTCCCATCGCAACTGGCCAGTGCGCAGACTCAGTCACGACTTTGAGGTTGTCGGCCGCCACCAGGCAACCGTCCAACGAACAGGATTCTGGGTTTCTGAACTTTAACGGGAGGTATGATGGCTGCGCCCTCTTGACATCCTGTTGGGGGAGGCCATATTTAAATCTGTGCCGTACAGCGGTGAATTAGCCCTTTGTTAGCCCAGAGGGCTAAGCTACTTTAGGGCTGGGAGAAGCAAGTGCTCCTGGATCCGTAAACACTGACGTCTCTGCTGCTTTTAGCTTCTCAGAAGCCCAAACCTCCTGCAATCAATATGGAAGCGCCCTGACCTCCAAGATGAGCTTTCTTTGTCTCCAGCAGCGCAGGCGCTGAAGTAAGATGGCCACGAACATTTATACAATTTCTTGCGTGCAGTGGGCGGGGCCATCTCATGGGAGGAGCTCCCCAAAGCAAGGTGAAACTTTTCCTGGGTCGGCTTTAAGAGTTAGAGACCCCGAAGAGACGCTCTTCCTTTGGGGAGCCTGAGGGCTCCAGAAGAAGGGGTGAGAACTCCGGAGTGGGCGGAGCCATGGGAGACTGGTAGTACGAAGTTAATGATTGTTATTGAAAAAATGTTAAAAGCATAGACTTTTTTTAAACTTTCAACTATTTTTAATAAATTATAATTAAGAGTTTTAGCACTCTGTGTTGTTGCTGCTGATTTGAAAGATTCAACATGAATTTTTTTTTTTTTTTTTAATTTCTGTCCTGGGCGCCTGGGTGGCTCAGTGGGTTAAAGCCTCTGCCTTCAGCTCAGGTCATGATCCTAGCGTCCTGGAATCGAGCCCCTCATCGGGCTCTCTGCTTAGCAGGGAACCTGCTTCCCTTCCCCTCTCTCTGCCTGCCTCTCCGCCTACTTGTAATCTCTTTCAAATAAATAAAATCTTTCCAAAAAAATCTTAAAAAAAAAAATTTCTGTCCTGTGTTAATGCTGAGCCAGGTAGGTGTCAGGGACTTTGTCTTAAACTACTTAAGATACAAAACAAATAGGGGCGCCTGGGTGGCTCAGTGGGTTGAGCCGCTGCCTTCGGCTCAGGTCATGATCTCAGGGTCTTGGGATCGAGCCCCGCATGGGCTCTCTGCTCAGCAGGGAGCCTGCTTCCTTCCTCTCTCTCTGCCTGCCTCTCTGTCTGCTTGTGATCTCTCTCTGTCAAATAAATAAATAAAATCTTAAAAAAAAAGATACAAAATAAATAAGTTACAAAATAAAATTCAGCCGGGTAAATTTGAATATCTAGTTGGCTTTATTAAAGGATTCATGAATCAGGCAGCATCCTATTTAGCAAGTCAAAAGGAATGCCTCCTCGGAGTTGTACAAAATGGAAGGTTTTTGTTTTGTGTTTGTTTTAAATGGAAGGTTTTTATAGGAAGAAGGGATGGGGAAATGGCAAGAAAGTTATTAGCAAAAGAACCTGGAACCCTGTTCCAGGCAGGGTTACCTTCCCTTAGGTGGAAGAGCAGGGATCTTATTAGGTGGATAACTGACTCATATGGGTCATCAAGTTTTTACTGAACACAAAGGGCTCCTGGCTTGGGGTGCATCGAGCCAAAAAATTAGCCCAAGTCTTTTGGTTTGAGCAAATGGTTGTTACTACTTGCAGCTAGTAAGGAGATAGAGAGTCCACAAATTTCTGTCTCTAATGCAAATTGCGGGACCAATTCATACTGCCAGACGGCAGCCTTTTGGTGGGTTTATTCTTGGAGTTAGGAAGTGATCACAAGAACTTATAAAACCTTTATAATCATTCAGGCATGACTGAACAGAGGTTTGCTTAACTGCAATTTCCCAGGAACATTTATGATTTTCTTTCTTCCCAGACATCTGCTCAGTTGAGTAACTTTGGTGGGCTTCCAGGAACAGGAAAGTTCTCAAGAACTCCTGAAGCTGAACAACAAACATGCTAGAAGAAACAAGATAGTTCATTTGTTTTAATTTCTCACTGTGGTCCCTGATAACCTAATCCGTAACATAATCTCATTTTTTGGGGAATGGAGAGGCCCCAAATAACAGTTTATCTCATTGACGCTAATCAGAAAATTCCCGACTGACTTGTTAAGACTTACATTTCTTTACTTTTTTTTTAAAGATTTTTTTCTTAATTTAATTATCTGATAGAGAGAGTACAAGCAGGGGGAGTAGCAGAGGGAGAGGGAGAGGGAGAAGCAGGATCGCTGCTGAGTGGGGAACCCAATGAGCCCAAGTGGGGCTTGATCCTAGGACCCTGGGATCACCACCTGAGCTGAAGACAGATGCTTAACTACTGAGCCACCCAGATACCCCAAGACTTACATTTCTAGGGGAGGTTGAAACTAGAGTTAGGTTAAGTATTATTAAGCCTTGGTTTGGTGGCTTGGATAAGTGACACCATTTTAGGCCTGTGGTTTTCTAAGAGTGGCTTGCCCCAGATGCTGACTGATGTAGGAAAGATGATATGATTCAAAGTCAACAGCCAAGAAAGAATTTTTAGACATCTTTGGTGCAAAAAGGTGATTTCATAATAGAACTACCCTATGACCCAGCAATTGCACTACTGGGTATATACCCTAAAGATACAAACGTGTTGCTCCAAAGGGGCACGTGCACCCGAATGTTTATAGTAGCAATGTCCACAATAGCCAAACTATGGAAAGAACCTAGATGTCCATCAACAGATGAATGGATAAAGAAGATGTGGTATATATATACAATGGAATACTATGCAGCCATCAAAAGAAATGAAATCTTGCCATTTGCGATGACGTGGATGGAACTAGAGGGTATTATGCTTAGCGAAATAAGTCAATTGGAGAAAAACAACTATCACATGATCTCCCTGATTTGAGGAAGTGGAGATACAATGTGGGGGTTTGGGGGGATAGGAAAAGAAAAAATGAAAGAAGATGGGATCGGGAGGGAGACAAACCATAAAAGACTCAATCTCACAAAACAGACTGAGGGTTGCTGGGGGGAGGGGAGTCGGGAGAGGGTGGTGGGGTTATGGACATTGGGGAGGGTATGTGCTATGGTGAGTGCTGTGAAATGTGTAAACCTGGCGATTCACAGACCTGTACCCCTGGGGATAAAAGTACATTATATGTTTATAAAAAAATTTAAAAATTAATTTTAGAAAAGGTGATTTCATTAAAGAATAGGCACAGGACCCGTGGGGAGAAAGAGCTGCCCTGGGGTCATGAGGAGTGGCCCATTATACACTTTCAAGTTGGGAGGGTGTTAGGGAAAGCATAAGTCTCTAAGGAATTTTGGAATCAAGGTCTCCAGGACCTTGAGGGGGCTAGCTGTCGTTGGGAAAGAGTCGTTTATTACTGTCTAATATATTAAACCTGAGTCATGAGACCCTTCAGATGTATATCAGCAGATCATATGCTCAGGGATGATTGATAACTTATATCTTAGGAGTGGGCATAGAGATAAAGGAAGTTTCCAAAGGAATCTTTATATGTTAAAGTAGACTTACAGGGTCCTGGGGGGTTGGGCTAGGATTGCGTTTTCCCCTCAGCGAAGTGTCAATATCGAGCAGCTGAGCTACCTAAGAGGAAGGTCACTTTGCCTGTTTCAAGGACTTGTGAATGACCTGTAAGTAGTGAGGAAATTTAATAATTTTTCTTTTGCCTTTGTTTCGCACATCACTGACCTGAGTCAAGAATGCGAGTGTGGGCAATTTATTTGGCAGGTGGAAAATAGGCAAATGACAATGGAGGAATGGAGCCCAATACAGACTGTATCAATGAGGGGGTTATCGCTGTGAGCAATAGGGACTCAGTCCTGCGGGGAACTCTGGAAGATAGTGTAGATACAAATTGTCCTGTTCAAGGGCTGCTGAAGCTGAGATATTTATACATTGTCTCTTGTCCCTCATTATTGGGTGCTATAGCAAGGACCTTAAACCACTTCTAGCTCACCTCATGGGCAAGGTTTCAGGCAGAATCTGTAGGTACTGGAGGCAGAGTTTCTGTTAAGCACCATTTACTTGTGTTCTGTACTTTGCCTCTGAATAAGCCAAGTTGAACAAGAACATGAACGAGAAGCCATGTTCCCACTTCAAGGAGTAAGCAAGAAAGTTAATCATTCTCTGAGTTTCGTCCTAGGCCCCAAACACCTGATAACATCCAAGGAGAGTCAGATCCCAAATATGTGCCATGACATAGTGTCAAACAAACTCCGCTGATGCTGGCATCAACACCCCTGGGTGTTGGATCCTCTTGGCTGGTCCTGTGGGACCCTCCCCTGGGTCTTCAGACCCAGCCTGCCTGCATCATACTGACGGCACTCATTTCATACGACCTGAAGCTGTGCTCTGCACATCATAGGCATTGGAACATCTCTAAGAATGGTTACCTTGCATTATGAAGATAGCTTTTTAAAAAACCCTAATTCCGGGGCACCTGGGTGGCTCAGTGGGTTAAAGCCTCTGCCTTCGGCTCAGGTCATGATCCCAGGATCCTGAGATCGAGCCCTGCATCGGGCTCTCTGCTTGGTAGGGAGCCTGCTTCCCTTCCTCTCTCTCTGCCTGCCTCTCTGCCTACTTGTGATCTCTGTCTGTCAAATAAATAAATAAAATCTTTAAAAAAAAACCCTAATTCCATTTGGTCATCATACTAACTGATATAACAGGTGATCTCCAAAATGGCTCCCAATGCTTCCTACCTCTTGGTATTAACACCCTTGTGTAGTCCCTTACACACTGGACCAGGGCTGGTCTGTGAGGCTAGTAAAATACAGTAGAAGTGATAGTAAATCACTGCTAAGATTAAGTTGTAAATGATACTCAGCTTCTGTTTTAGAGGTATGTGCTCTTGCTCTCCCTCTCTCTCTCTCTCAAATAATTTACTCTTGGAGAAGTTTGTTGCCATGTCATGAGGCACAAATAATAATAAGGAACAAAACAAGCAACTAAAGTTGTAGGTACCTTGTTTTTAAAAACTAAATTGTTTGATATCAGGTCCCAGGCTCTCGAGCTCAGCCAAAGCCTCTCCATCCCTTCACCCAGGAAGCACCTCCTCATCCTTCAGCAGATGTTATCTATCTCCTGGAGGGATCAAGATCTCTTCTCCATGTAGTAGGAGGTGGAGGAAGGGGTGAGGCCAGTTCCAGGACATTTGAACATCCCTAGGCTGAGAGTCTGAGGCCACAGGCGGCCTTCAATTCCTAGTCCTTATTCTTGGCAGTCTTAAACAGAAAGAGAAAAATC